TGTCAACCATTATACACATTTATATAATAATGAGTTGTAAATTATAAATTATATATTTATAATAGCATTAAAAATATGTAAAATAATTAAAAACAATAATACGCATACAACGACAAATCTCTATTCACATACACGACGTCTAATCACAATCGACCCGTATGGAAATGATTTCATCGAGATCGAATGACGAATCATTGGCACTCGACTCGGCCGTAACGCACTTCCGTTGCGTTTGTGCGGATTTACACCCTAATCGCGCCTAAAGAAGTTTTGCTTCAAAAGTTTTACTTCAAAAACCAATTCAAGCATTTACAAATTTAGATGTAGTTTATATGTTTTACTAGATTATCACTAGAACATCATTCATCAACAACATACGATTAAGGATTTTATTTTATATTATATTATGTTAAGAAATTATATCAATTTATATAATTGTGTCTTTTAAAAAATATAATAATATGAGCAAAATTATTTTTTTAATTCTTAGTACTTTTGAATAAAAAAATTATTTGCTGATTTCTCTAACCATGCATTTTTTATTATTTTTATAGGTTTTGGCGCTACCTACCACCTGCCAAAATTTGAAGGTGTTTCAAACCAAATGAAATATTTTTCCGCTCTAACACTAGAACAGTCGAAAATGTATCAATGTTCCAAGTGTAATAAAAGTTATAAATATGATCAGAGTTTAAGAATGCATCAGAGATATCAATGTGGAAAAGAGCCACAATTTAAATGCAATGTTTGCCCTTATAGAACATATTTGAAAGGAAATATGAGTAAACATTGTTTGAGAATGCATGGAATTGAATATGTAATAAATGATAATGTTTCGATGAAATTTTAAAGTATTTATTAACCAAAAATCATAGGAGTAGTCTTGCTGCAAGCAAAGTAATAATATGGAACTAATATAGTTTAATTTTATTTAAATAAAATGCAACAGTTCAAAGCTTTCAATGTAAACCAATTATATGGTTGCAATGAAGTTTTAATTTTATCGATAAATAGTATTTATTTTAATTTTAAGTCCTAATAATTAATTAAATCAGAAAAAACGTCCTGATGTCATTGGACAAATATATGTGCAAATCTAAAACATAGACTACTTATATTTTTATATATGTTTTCAATAGAAATCTCAGTATATTATACATTGAACGACATAATATTTATTGATTATTATCTTATAGTATTATTTATTTTTCACCATATATAGAATAAGTTCGTAGAATTATAAATTCCAATATTAATATAATAATATATTCTATTTTAATATTAGAAGCTAGGT